TTACATTTGATAATGGATTGGCACATGATTATTGCACCAACATTATGAAAGTTCTGCCAGTATTATTAGAGATTCATCACTACGTTCGAATTATAATTTTATATTCAAAAGCACACCAGGCATAATGAAATTTTGGCTACATTATTCACATGATATCAAAATTATATGAAATTTTGGTTTCAGAAGCTTACACTAAATTACGTAAAATTACACTAAATTACGGTAATTTTACAACCCTTAGATCTGAGTATTCAATGAAGTAAGGTCCAATGAAGTAAGGATCTTTAAAAATCTTTTCCGAAATTATATAATGGTATTCGCCTTCATGCAGATTTAGGTATATATGTAGGGAATTTATGTACAACTTTTGAATATAAGAACCCTCTCCCCATTAATCCTCATAATGAGTGATATCGAATCCGAATCATCTAATAAAAAACATTCTTTAATAAATTCTGATACTTTGATCGATGATTACAGAAAACGGCTTCTAACACCAGCAGATATGTATCTGAAAAAAAAGAAAACCACTCATACAAGCGTTTATGTTAAACGAATTGATAATAAAGAATTATTTCCTCCAACCGTTTCACCAGTAACAACAAAGTCAAAAACATATAATCCAGTTGAATGGAAATCTTTAAATCAATCACTGCTAAATGCAAAAAGACAACATAAAATTAACCAAGACTGGGCAGAAGTTTATAGCAAATTCTTTCAATTCAAACTGATATATAATGATGTCCAAAAAAAATCTTTTACTTTTCAAAAGGATAAAGATAATGAAATAAATAAATTGATCAAACTATCTATTCCCGATGGATGTAGCACAGAAATATCACGTTGGAGGAAGGCTTTCAATTTGGTTGTGCTTGTAATAGAAAGTAAAGATATTTGTCTTGAAGATTTTCTTGAAGAAATAAGAGATTTGAATTTTACATTTAATTATCTTCAAGAAGTTGATCCAGCGGATTTTAAGACTTTACTTGAAAAAATAGTAGAAATTTATAAGCAAAAAATGAAAATTCAATAAAGTAAGTATCTTTAATTTTAAATAATTTTAGTGCAAACTCTCGAATCATTTTTGGCAATATTCAAATTAAATTTAATTCATTAATTATTTAATTTTTTTTAGTTCATTTAATAAGACTAATTTTTATGTATAATTATGTTAAAATCATGAATTTTTTTTAGTGAATTGTTATAATAAATAATTATGTTAAATTTTAAATTGATTCGTTTAAAACTTTATTAAAATTTAAATTTAATTGAAAATTTATTAAGATTTAATATGAAAACAAAAAAAAAAAGATTTATGTGAAACGTACTAAATTAATTACCGTAAATTCTCGAAATAACCAGGAGTAAAATTACAAAATTTGGCCTAAATTAAGCTTAATTCAGGCCAAAACTCAAAATAATGCCCATGCCCATTATTTCAAGTAATTATCATATAAAAATTAACTATTGAACTTTTTTATTTTTGTGTAAAAATACTGATTCTAATTTGTATGCATGTATAATGATATTATTTTATTACAAAATATATGAAAACAGATATTTATTTTCACATCCCACTAAAGTTTAACTCTAAATTAATTATGGCTTTGAGATACAGTACTGTACATGTAATTTTTTTGAAGCACCCTAAATCAATTGACTGCAATTAGAAGCAAACAAGATATCTCTTGATTTTGTCATCTGACAATTAGGAAAAGAACTCTGTTAGTATTAATGAAATGGATTGTGCTACGGGCACGTGCTTATGAGCAAAGCAATGACTGACATTACTAAAATACATTTAACTCTAACCCTAATTCAGGCCGATGTTGTACCCATAAGTCACATGGATATTGTTCTCTATTGCAACTGATTTTCTCAGGAAAAATAAAATTTTATTGGTGCATATTACTCTTTTGTCAACTGATAAAGTTTCACAATAGAACTTGATTGCAATC